AATTCACTCTACTTGCATACAAGAGGTTCAGTGGTTATTACCGGACAATCTGTATATTTCAATAAAGAAAAATTTATTCTTATTATTAAAAAATAATTTTTATTAATAGAAAACAAAAAATATTGGATAGAGAATAAAAGTACTTTAAACCAAGAATATTCATATTATAACGATAAATTAATGTTTATATATATTATCGACAGTTTAATCTTATTTTAAAGTCGTTCTCTGGAAAATCGATTTTCTCTAGATTTTTTTGAAACTGTGAATATACGTTAACCCTCCGTAGTCCCACCGGGTCAATTTGACCCGAGCCTCAACTTTGCTCGTAAATATCTTGCGCGTAACTTGAAAATTGGCGGGCATGACGCCCTCTAGCTGTAGTTCAAAAAACAAAAATTTTTTTTTAAAAACGAAAATTTTTTGCGAATTTTTTTTATATGTTAAAAATTCTTGAGGCATTTCTTTTTTTGTAGCAATTAATTTAGCAATATCACAAGTGCATTCGAGAATTTTTTCAACACGATCGGTGGATAAATGGTCAAATGGCGAACGATCAAAGTTCGTCTCGGGTCAAAATGACCCAGAGTGACTTCCTTGTTTGAAAAAATAGGTGTGACTACGGAGGGTTAATTTAGGTGTGCTTTATGCGATAGTATTTTCAATACCTCTTGCTGTATTAAAAATCGAGATACTGAGTTTCAAAGTTTCAACTTTTAACATGTAATTCCTATTCCGAGCTATTGTAAAAGAGACATTATAATAAATTGTGAAAGAAGTTTTCTCTAAATGTTTTTGAAAAATTAGTATATGATGCTCCATAAAAATAGAAATAATATGCAATTAAGTGTCAATACCCTTGTGTACTCGTTTTTGAGAAATACTTGTGTAAAATACGCGATTTGATGAATTTTTCGCTCGGTTCAGAGTGACAGAAGAGAAGAGGCGTCAGTTACTTGGCAACGCCGCATGAGTTCTCACGCGTGAAGTTAACTTCTTATTTTTTAGATGTTATTATAGGTTTGTTCGCGTCGCATGCCCCACCATGCTCCTAATCACTCCAACGCACTCCAAAAACTCATCTGCTCCAATCGCCACCTTTTATCCGTGATCCAAGTGCTCTTGGTGTTTATTGGAGTATGCGACGCGAACAAACCTTATATGTAATATTTTGTATATAAACATCTTTTTAAGCACGAATACAAGTTGAGCACGACTGAAGCCGGAGAACGTCCTTAAAACTCAATATTCTCTACATGAACACAAATAATGTTAATTCAATTTTATTATGTTACAATAAAGAAGAAGAAATCGGAAAAAGAAAAATACATCATTATCATCAAAATAATCATATTGTACTTTTTATATGTATATGTGACAATTATAATATTCAAATTAAATTATAATATTCTTGAAATTCAAAAATATAAAATTCTTTGAAAAAATATATATATTCTTGCTTATATATAAAACAATAATTGTATTAATTGCAGGTCTTGATTAAAGACTAATTTTTTTTGTGTCCAAGAATGATAATAAGAATAAAGGGTAAATCTTCGGAAAACCCACCTACATAAAATTCCTATCTTATCCTATATCTAAAAAAGGCATGTTAAATCGATACTCGCATCTCTTGAAGTCTTCTCGAAAGTCTGGAAGTTTATTGTTGACTTTTTTCCGCGATGCTAATTGGTTCTCTCGCTACGCTAACTTCGTGAGCGGCTGTCATAGCATAATTTTGACAGTTGTGTATTTGTTGTTAAATAGCGCGCGCGTCTGCGATGTCTAGTATGAATACAAATACCCAATTCCTATGTATTTTTGTCCTCTGAACATAAATATGAAACTTAAAAATGGCGATCGGACTTGCAAGTTGAAGAGAAACCATCATAAAGGGGTAAAGTGAAGGAGAGCCCACTTCTCACTGATTTCGTTAAACTTAGGCTTAATCGACGCGTTTTTGCACAGAATGACCGATCCTGGCAGAAAAAAGTGTCACTCTGCCCCGCGAAGCGAGATATTAACAATTAAAGTTGACGACTACATTCACTTGACGTGATGGATTTATACATTCATGTATGTTGCAGCCACATGCGGTAATGTAGCACTCCTTAAAGTGTCTAGATATTGGATACATGCTGTAATTTAATCTTTAAATTAAAAAGTACCATACACACATACATACACACGCGCGGGGGGGGGTGCAAGGGGGGGCCTTGGGCTCCCCCTCCCGCACCCCCTCTGCCGATAGGCAGGGTGGACCTCGCTTTACAACTTAGCATGTACTTTGTAAGTTGTAAAGTGATGTCCACCCTGCCCACCGGCGCGGACGAAGGGGTTGCGGGAGGGGGGCCCCAAGGCCCCCCTTGCACTCCTCCGCGCGCGCGCGTGTGTGTGTATGGTAATTTTTAATTTGAAAATTAAATTACAGCATGTGTCCAATTACTGCCTCCACGAATACATAATTTCCACGCAAAACGAGATGCCTCATAGTTTATAAACTTTCCACGCGTGGAAAGCTCATATACTTTGCAAGGCAACATATGTCAAGGTCAAGATTATTGGAGAGTGTGATGTTTTTATGCATAATTACGAATATTGATTTAGCATCAATATTCAGCTAAGAGCCAAAGCACATAACATAGCGTAGCAATATACGAGTCGTAGTCCTCGACCTGACAAATCAGGATACGCCAAAGCTTGTGTGTTACTTACGTCCATACACGAATACGACTGTCATATGTGCTTTGGCTCTAATGCCAAAGCTGATATTAGCTGATTTTCAATGACTTTTTGCGTTTTTCTGTTTTTTTGCGATTTTCGATGTTTCTTGTCCCGAGCGCCATTTTTAAGTATCATATTCAAGTTCAGAGGATAAAAATACGTAAGAATTGGATATTTTTATTCATTATTTCATATAGGTGGGTTTTCTGAAGATTTACCGAATAAAGAATAATAAAAAAAGTAACTTTTGCATTGCTTTCTTTTGCATTAAGTAAACGGGCAAATTTTCTCATTTCCTCAACCTTTATACTTTCTTGCAAGAAAACAATGCAAACAATATCTTTTTAATTACTTTTTAATTTCTCTTCTTATTATTTTTCTTGTATATACGAACAAAGATTATAATAGATTATAAGAGAAAAAACATATGGACATATTTTATGTATAAATCAAATTTTTTTTCACCGTTGTATAGCAAACGTAATAAAAATAACTAATAACAGTAAAGCTATTTTTCTTATCTAATAAAGGAACAAAAAGGATAAATTATGATGGGGCTATATAAAAAAATGGAAAACATACGAGCATATGTTCAGCAAGCCATCCTTCTTTCCTGGCTATCGTGGAACCAATTCGAAGCGCAAAACACTTTTTTCCTAATAGAGAATTTCCGCCGTAACCACTTCCATAAGACACAATCTCGTTTTTGGCAGGTTTGTGAAGGATAATCGTCCTTTCGGGATCGCATGGCCATGAGTGAGTTATACTGACTTTTGAATTATGTTTCGGCACACCCACCGAGTGTAAACATTTAACGAAAGTATCATTTCCCAGAGCCTCAAGTACCTTTTCTCCCATTCTAGTCATTATTCTCATCGAACAAACTACATAAGCCGAATCGGTAATTTCTATACCAATTTTAGAAAGTGGAGAACCTACAGGTCCCATACTGAAGGGGATCACATACATAGTGCGTCCTATGTCACAAAATTTATGTTATATTTATATAACATTAAATAATTTTTAATTTTTAATTGTTTACATAAGTAAACTTATATTATATTTTTAATACATTATTTATATATATGTATAGTTCACACAATATAATACGTCTTACACAGTAAAATATATCACCAAGATATCTAGAAGATATCTGAATGACGGAATATCTAATTGTTGCGCAGATACCATAAGAATATCTCAGAGACATCTCCAAGATTATAAAAAGCCATGATGATTTTATCTCAGATATGATATCTGATTCTGCATATATATCGGCTATCTATGCCTCATTTAAAAGCAGATATGTTATATACAACCCAAATAGCAAGAAGAAAAGAAGAATTCTTTTTAAATTCTCGATTTATGAAATTAATTATTTTTCTGTATTCATTCTCTGTTCTAAAATGATTCTTGAGAGTTTAAAAGAAATTCATTTTTATATCATCAATTCTGAGTCCTTTTTTAGATATAAAAGACGTCCTTTTCATAAAAATTCGCAATAAATTCAAAATTATGCTTCGATATTATTCCAATATTTTGCATTTTGCCATCTCTGCACTGTATGATATCTCGGATATCACGAAAAATATTAGAGCCAAGTATCTCATAGACTCGCTTTTTATCCTAGTGCGTAAGGATTTTTGTTTACAAGAAGGTACTGGCGCATGTAGTCGCGGCGCGAAAGCAACATACTGCGTTCCCTCGCAGTATGTTGCTTTCGCGCCGCGGTCGTTACCTCCGGCGCTGCCCGAGTGAAAATTTTCTAAGTTCCCTCGCGGTGTACGTGTGACTTTTGTCGGGACGAATCGTTACGGCGCGCGTCCAAGTCCTCTCAAATTGTTTTATTGGCTACGAGTAAACTTGAGTTAATCTTTATAAAATATAAGAGCTAACTGTGAATCGGCCATATATTCGAATGCACTTGTTGCAGAGATGTCTTTTTCCAAAGATATAATGTGATATTGAGTAATAATGTGTTGCAGATATTCTGTGAATATCTGAAAATAAGATATCTCAGATTTGACTTAAAATTGTAGGCATAAAGATATCTGGCTATATCTCAGATATATTTTGCTGTGTGGGGTACATTTGGTAATCGACAACAAATCGTAAATATCCAAAATTTCTGCTAACCTTTCATACAACCTGGAAAACGTTCTGAAATAGCTTTTTCCATATCATAAGGAGAGATCCAATTTCCAAGCTCTCCAATTATACCTTTACGCGGTATAGGAATAGCATCACTTTTCAAGTCTGTACTGATAAACGTACATTTCTCGACACGTGCCACATCTGCAGGGTTAGTCTTTGCCAACCAACTATTACATAAAGTCATAAAATATATTTAAAAGATAATATAAACGTATAATATAAATGTATAATATAAACGTATATGTAATAAGAGTCTGGACACTCTGGACCATTTCCTCTTTATTAGAAATAAAAACATGGTAAGAGTTCTGTATATGAACCTCTTCCGAGTTTGATCCACTTTTGCGGGTACGTAGTACGTACTAAAAGAAGTCGAAAGCCCCAGTACCAACTTGTGCAAAAATGACTATTTTCTTAAATATTCAAATTTTTATTATTTTACTAGATTTTGGATTTTTTGACTGCATATACACAATATTGATTCTCTTTTCGCGTGGAAAACCCATATAAAATTAAACAATAATAGACTTTGTTTCGCCCTGTAAGCAAAGGAAGCAAGGTCCACCCTTCAATTATTGTTGTGTGAGTGAGAAAATGCGTTTGTGGATGCAGTAAGTTCTGCCCCCCTCTCTACGGGGGGCTCCACCTCCAAAAAACTAACCTATAACCCAAACCAATTGTTGTATGGTTGGGAAAGTGTGTGTGTGAATGCAGTATGTTCTGACCTCCCCACAGTATAACCAGTAGTCCGACTCTGTCAATTGTTTTGGTACCGCGCCGATCCGATCTGCGCATCGACATTTTGTTGGAAGCGACCAATCAGAGGATTTTTGTATGCGTGGTAGTTCAACGTCGGTGTGACCCCGCCGAGGCGCCACAGTTTATACGTGGTTGCAATCACACGTTTGACGATGAGATAAAAATAAATTCGTTAATCAGTGTGACGCGCAGAAATACTTGATATTTTGGATAATTTCGATTAGATTATTTTCCAAAATGCCTAACAGCATAGGTTATACAATTTATTGTAGCGTTCGAAATTGCCGAAATACGAGCAAAAAATCAAATTGTCATTTCTTTCGTTTCTCTAAGGATGCCGAAAAGTTTGTATATATCGACTTTTTGTACATGTTACAGAACAATTATTTTTCCTTTAAATCATAATACACAAGTTTAATAATTTTAGGTTAAGACAGTGGGCAATTGCGTGTCGTCGCGAGGATCTTTTGAAAGGAAAATTAGAACGTGTTTATTCCCGTTTGCAGCGATCATTTTGAGGACAGAATATATACAAATTATTTGAAAAACCGTTTACTTCCTCTGGCTCAACCAACTCTCAATTTGGGTGAAAATTTAGAAAATGATCAAAATATGGTAAATTTAGAAAATGATCAGAATATGGAAAATTTAGAAAATGATCAGTATATGGTTTTAGAAAATGATCAGAATATGGAAAATGTAGAAAATGATCAGAATATGGAAAATTTAGAAAATGATCACAATGTGGTAAGTAAATTAAAAATGATCAATTCAAGATTAAGTAAAAGAATCGAGCTGCTGATTAGAGGATACTGCAGCTGATAGGTTTAAACCTGCTAAACGTGATCTTTATAAAATCTGATTTCAGAATTGTGCAAATGCAAAAAGTAACACTTCATATGGCATGCGACAAACCATTCATTCGTTGGAAGAGGGAGAAAGGTCGCAGCTTTCCGCAGAGCCTGATGTACGAGCGGAACACAATGTCAGCTTGGAACCAATTAACATCGCCAAATTTCTTCAGCCTTTAATCGTCGTTCTTTCAGCAAACAACAATATTGCAGATCCTAACATTGCAGTCACCGCAGGGCCCAGTGGTGTTAGAAACCACAAAGAAGTACAGAGTATTAGTCATAAAGTTACTCAAACCACGAACGATTTGTCTACTCGTACTCCGAGAAAATTAAAAGCAGAAATTAGAATGCTAAAAAAAGAGATTGCCACTTTGAATGAAACGATAAAAAAACCACGTACAAAAAATCAATTTTTGGAGGACTGTGAAAAATATCTGCCACCGCGGATAGCATTGTTTGTAAAAGAACAAGTATTAGCAGGCAAGAAACAAGTCCGAGGTCAGAGGTATTCCCTAGAATTTAAACGATTGTGCTTGAATTTGTATTTTAAAGGGCTAAGAGCGTATAGGGCTTTGTCATCGATATTTTCTTTGCCAAGTAAAACGACTCTCAATGATATAACACTTAATATTTCTATTACAAGCGGCATAAATCAAAACGTGTTCAATTTACTGGCCAATAAATTTGCAACTATGCGAGAGTCTGGAAAAATGTGCGTAATATGCTTTGATGAAATGTCATTAAAATGCCATTTGTATTATGATAAAAAAACTGATAAAGTTATCGGTTTTCATGAGAGTGGCAATGAAAAGCAATTCCAACCAGCAAAATTTTCATGCGTCTTTCTTGCAAGAAGTATTTTTGGTGATTGGAAACAGCCTCTTGCGTATGAACTTTCGAATACAGCTTGTTCAACTGCAGTTCTTAAACAATTACTCATTCAATGTATTTTTGAATTGCAAAATATTGGTGTAACAGTAGCTGCTGTAATATGTGATATGGGTCCTAAGAATAAGCAACTCGCAAATGAATTAGGAATTACGCCTAGTACCCCATATTTTACACTGAACAACCGCAAGATCTTTTTCTTATTTGATGTGCCGCATTTGATAAAGGCGACGCAAAATAAGTTTTTAAAATATACTTTCAAGTTTGGCCAATATTTTGCTAACATACGTTACGTAAGACAATTTTATGAGATCGATCAATCAATGCCGTTCAGGTTGGCGCCAAAATTAATTTACTCTCATTTAAATTCAAGACCACAGGAAAAAATGAAAACTCGATTAGCTCCTCAGCTTCTTAGTCAAAGGTGGCAGGTGTAAGTTCATATATCCATTTTGCAAAAATATCAACTGATGCAGTTGGGACGGTAACTTTCATAGACAAAATGGATAAACTGTTTGACATGTTAAATTCCACCTCTAAATACGAGGGAGACAAACTGCACGCTCACGTTTTCGAAAGGAAAAAATTCCAGACTACTTTTTTACAAGAATGTTTAAAGTTTTTTGATTCATTAATTATTAATCACAATGATCAGAACGTGACAAATCAAATGAACTTTATCAATGGCTGGAAAGTTACTATTTCAGGCGTACTGCAACTATGGGAATGTCTCAAAGAAAAAGAAGGAATTGTTTCTCTGCAAACGAGGAGATTAAATCAAGATCCTATAGAAAACTTTTTTGGGAAAATTTGTTTAGGAGGAGAAAACTGTCCGAACCCTCCTTCCTGGCAGTTCACTCGAGCATTCAAAAAATTGCTGTGTCAGGATTTCTATAATACGGGAAACGAAAACTGCGAAGATGATTTTGACAATATCTTGCTAGATTTAAGCAGATTGAATGGAGATATTGGAGATGAAATGAAAGAAATTGAAGAAGAAAGTGAAGGCGGACTTTTTGATACATTTACGCCGGATGACACTGATTATGAAAAGCTCAATTTAGTTGAAAAAAGTTCAATTCGTTACATATGCGGTTTTTTGATTGGTAAATGTTTAAAGAAACATTCATGCACAATTTGCAAAGAATATAGTATTGATCACGTAGAATTTGAAGATTCGACAATTTATTGTTTTTTTTAAGGCATACTAAAGCAATAATTCAATTTTCGGAAATTTAAAAATGCCACATAATAATTTTATTTTTTACGTGTGCTCGTTGGCAGCGATTTTTAATCAGCACTTTGAAAATATTGTTTTAGAAAAAAATATACAAAAATTGTTAGCGAAGGTTAAAGTAATAATATTTAAGCACCCATGCAGCAGTTTCTCACATTTATATTTAAAAAAATTATTTTTTAGAATGCGCATATATTATACGTTAAAATTTATAAATTACAACTTTAAGTCATCCACAAGCAAAAATAAAATGATTATTTGGAGACACGAATAAATACCGCTGTACATGTAAATATATGTAATGTATTTACATATATATGTAAATGTATGTAATAAATATATACCGCCGTATATGCAATAAATGCAACTTTGCAAAAATGATATTGTTTTTGCATTATTAATTTTAATTAAACTTTACCACGAATTTAAAATCTTTAACAACAAATAAAATAATTGCACTATTTTTTTTATAATTTCAACTTTAACTTCATAATTTATAATAATTTGCAATAATTTATAATAATATATTAATATTTAATTTTATAATTTATAATAGTTATTTTATATCTAATTAGCACTTGAACAATTCATCGAAACTGCTATGCTAGCAATTTCATTAATCATTTTTTATTCGTACAATCTTTTTTCTTGTATTTCTACCTAGGCCATTTCTAACGCGTGAATAATGTATACAGTTCTTATGCGCCTCTTCTAATAGTAAATAAAATCCTGAAAACCTGGGGCGCTTTAACTTCTAAGTACAACCTTGAAAACCCGGGGCCCTTTAACCGTAGATACGTCGTTGGCGCTTCCATAATAATGAGGGCGAATCGGGAACCGATAGATCAAAGGTGCCGACAGAGAGTCGGACTACTGGTTAAGGCCTTGGCACATAGAAAAACTTAAGCAGTAAAACTCAACCAGTAAGCAAATCAGCCAATCACAGCCAAGAACTTAAGGCACGGCCCTAAGCGGTAGCGAATCCATACTGTTGATGTCTTACTGCTTAAAGTTTTACTGCTTAAGTTTTTTTATGTGCCAAGGCCCTTATACTGTGGCCCTCCTTACAGGTGGGGGGCTCCATCTCGAAAAAACTAACTCAACTATTTCCAAAAACCTAACCTAACCTAACTCAAACCAATTGTTGTGTGGGTGCGAAAGTGCGTGCGTGGATTAACCTGATGTAGAGTGCCGCACGCTTTGTTTACAATTTTCAGGCAAAAATTTTAATATTTAAGGAAATAGTCATTTCGCAAGTTTTGGCACTTTCAACTTCTTTTAGTACGTACCTGCAATATTTTACTATGTGCCTGCAATATGTAACCTACAAAGTAGATCAAAATCGAAAGGAGGTTGCATACGGACCTCTAGCCAAAAACATTTTACAAGAATATCTTTTTTGAAATTAAATAATTATTAAATACATATTTTGATTTCAAAAAAAAGAAAATAAATATTTTCTTAATTCTAAAAATTGTGTTAATTTTTTTGTTGTTGTAAAAAAATCTGTTTTGATTATTAATTTCTAAATTTTATCATAAAAACCAACCGAAATATATTGTATTATATATATATATATATATCGCGTATATATATATATATATATATATATATATATCTCTATATATAATTATATATAATACACGCAAATAGATGATAGAATATATTTATTTTTCTCTCTCTCTCTCTCTCTCTCTCTCTCTCTCTCTCTCTCTCTCTCTCTCTCTCTCTCGTTTACCAAATCCTCGAGCCCATTCATTACAGGACATGATCTACTTGAAATGTCATTCTCTCTAAATCGTGCGTTTGACTCTAAGCAGTCTGTACTGCGGCGTAGTTATAGGAACTTTGACACCTCTGCGTTCCTTGAGCATCTTCATTCTTTGGCAATTAATGTTCAGATTGTGAATGTGACTAACGTTGAGGAGGTTTGTTCTCGTCTGTCGTCTACCTTGCTTGACGTGCTGGATGTGTTTGCTCCTGCTCGTAGATCTGTGATTAGAAGGCCTCCTATTCATTGGCTCACAGATGAATTTAGATCCCGACTCCGTACACGTAATCAGCTGTATAAGCAAGCCAAACGTTCCAATAGTCTTCTTGGCTATGCCAGATACCGACATCTTCGCAACCAGCTTAACACTGATATCAAGCGCGCCAAGAGTGATTTTCACTTTGCCTCTCTTACTAACATAACCGACTCTGCTGAATTGTGGAGTGAACTTGCCCGTCTTGGGCTTGTCAAGTCTACGTCGGTTTCTTCTCTCCGTTTTTTCTCACCTGATCAACTAAATTTATATTACGTCTCTGTATTTAATACTTCATCACCTTGCTCGTTCATTAACTTCATGTCAGCCATTGCTTTAGTTTCTAGTCCTTCTCAACGTTCAAAGTTTGTTTTCTCTACTATTCAGCCTGATGATGTATATAAACTTATTACAAATGAACCTCTTCATTCCTTTGCATCTGGCCAGGACGGCATTCCGCTTTATGTTCTCCGTATTGCCTGGCCTGTTATTTCCCAATGGGAACTTTACTGCTCAATTGTTCACTTCAATCCTCCGTATTTCCTTCATTATGGAAACGTGCGTTGTCCGCCCTCTCTCGAAGATTCGCACTCCTCTGTCTCCATCTGATACTCGACCTATTGCTAATCTTCCGGAAATGTCTAAAATCCTTGAACGAATAGTGGCCTCACAGATCACTGACTATTTAAACAAGCATAATCTTTTGAATTCCAGAGAGTCTGCGTATCGTTCAGGTTACAACACGCAATCTGCACTTTTACGCGTCTGTGATGACATAAAAAAAGGAATTGATGACAGCTTAGGCTTATCACAATTATGATTCTCTTCGACTTCAGTAAAGCCTTTGATACTGTTCCACATCTTCGTTTACTTATGAAGTTAAAATTAGGATTCTTTGACGAGGTCCTTGTGTGGATATTCTCCTATCTCACTGGCCGTTCTCAAGCTGTAATTGATGATGAAGGTAATCTCTCAGACTGGCTGTTCACATCGTCCGGCGTCCCTCAAGATTCTGTACTTGGTCCTCTTCTGTTTGCACTGTATATTAACGATATAGGTGGTTTTCTGTCGTTTGTGTATTATATGCTCTTTGCTGATGATATACAAATATATCTCCAATGTTCTCGTGCTGACATTCTCCATGGTCTTGAAATGATTTCTAGAGATGCGAATGCTATTTTTGACTATGCAAATTTGAATGGTCTTAGACTTAATCCTGCGAAATCTATAAGGTATTGATTTTTGGTAGTCATTTCTATGTTAATGATATTGACCATAGCTTACCACTTATTATTGTAAACCAAACACCTATACCCTTTGTTAATGAAGCCAAAATTTTGGGTGTAATTTTTACGTCTAACTTGTCTTGGAGGAAACACATTTTACACATCTCTCAAAAAGTTCATTTTTCTTTGCATAAACTCAAGTTTAATAAAAATTTTCTTTCTACGAGGTTATATAAGGATAAGGCTGGTATTAGCTCTAATTATGCCACACATTGATTACTGCTGCTTAGTCTATCACGGTTTAAGTGGTGAGTTAAATACTTTATTACAGAGACTCGTCAATTGTTGCATCCGCTTTATCTTTGATCTCAAGAGAGATGAACATATTACTCCGTATAGACGCCAATTAAGATGGCTTTTAGTTGAAAATAGAAAACTATATTTTCTTGGTTGTCAAATGTTTTGCATACTTCACATGTGCTCTTCTTCTTACTTGCGGGAAAATTTTACGTTGCCTGATCCGCTGTTGAGGAGATCTGACCGCCTTTCTCTTGCGTCTCATACATTTCATATTCCTTCTCACAGAACAACCACCTACAGAAACTCTTTTCATCTTTCTTTTATTTATTTCTGGCACTCACTTCTTGTTAATATCACCTCTACTTCCTCATTCCCTACCTTTAAGAATCTTCTCAAAGCATTTTTGCTTGCTCGGGAAACAGGGTACCATTCTTACTTATGTCTTCTGTTTTCTCCTGTCCTTCTTGTTTATTGTTGTTGTTTCTTTACTACATAATTATACTGTATATATAACTAGTTAAGTTGCATTAGTTGTTAGTTACATTGTATATATTACTAGTTAAGTTGCGTTAGTTCTTAGTTATACTATAGTTTTTGGAATTATACTACGCTAGTTTATTGGACACTTCAGTATCCAGTTCTTCGCTACTTCATTCTTGCCTGTCTCATATGCGAGGGAGAGCACGCATATATTTTCTCTTATACTGCAGAACTGTATCTTATTTTTGCCGTTTAGCCTTGCTTGGGCATAATAAATCATCTCTCTCTCTCTCTCTCTCTCTCTCTCTCTCTCTCTCTCTCTCTCTCTCTCTCTCTCTCTCTCTCTCTCTCTCTCTCTCTCTTTCTCTACGAGGACATAATTTGCAAAGGAATATAAATATGAATTAAAATATATATTTACAAATATATATTTTCCAAATATATATTCGTAATGCCGATATCTCATCGGGCCTAAGGGCCGGTTGTTCCAACCTGTTGGTAAACTTCCTAATAGTTAAATCATATATATGTCTTTGTTTATCCATTACATTAGACAGAGATGGACATATGATTTAACTATTAGTTAGCTGACCAACAAGTTGAAACAACCGGCCCTAAGAGATATTAACGAATCCGTGTAAATAAATTTTAACCCTTTTCATCCCGTTAGGAGTCGAATTTCTAAAAATCCCTTCTTAATGAGTGCTTACGTCATGAGAAGAATACACTCTTCAAATTTCATGTTTCTATAGGTTCAGGGGTTTGAGCTGGACGTTGATGAGTGAGTGAGTGAGTGAGTGAGTCAGTCAGTCAGGACATTTTCCTTTATATATATAGATATATGCATGCATATATTGTGTATGATACTGCAACTTCGTGTTTGTAAAATGAGATAAATATCTGAAATGTTAAGACTTACCAATTTTCGTATTTGGGCAAGCTTTCGATAGTTCCACTTTTTCGGAGAATTTTTAGCATTTGCATGTACTCGACATCAGTACCATTACATATATAAATGTCTTTAGGACTGCACAGTAAAGCGCATTCTTCAATATAGTAGCGAAGTTTGGACGAGATCTCTACCGTACATGCATTTAATAGAGGTATTTTACCGATATAATCAAGTCCATTTTTAGTTGATGGGTTTTTTGCTGCATGAGTCACAATAAATCTCGGATTTCTGAAAAAGCATAATTTTGTTAAAACATGTTAAACAAAGATATGATATTATAAAAAAAATATCTCATAATTTTGACTGCAAATATAGCAAATGTTATTTATTTATTATATTTTTTTATCAACAAATTATTTAATAATTACTTAAAAATTAATTTATAATTAATTTTTTAACGGAAATGTGACTGAACGATATTGTCGTAATAATAATTATTAAACAGCTTTTTAAATTGTAAAACTTTAAATGTTTTATGATATGCGCACATATGAATATGCGCATGTGAGCGATCACTCATTCAATTTTAAATTCTATAATCATAAAATCAACGGATGATCGTAAACTTAAGGGGGGATTCTAGTGTTACTAGACGAAAAAAATCGATTTTTTTTTTACATAAATAAATAGTGTAAGGTTTCAAGAATGTATTTGTGTTATTGTCGAATTTATAAAAGCACCTTTACCCACACAGCAAAATATATCACCAAGATATCTAGAAGATATCTGAATGACGGAATATCTGATTGCGCAAGATATCATGAGAATATCTCAGAGACATCTCCAAGATTATAAAAAGCCATGATACTTTTATCTCAGATATAATATCTGATTCTGCATATAAGTCGGATATCTATGCCTCTCATTTAAAAGCAGATATGTCACATATAACCTAAATAGCAAGAAGAAAAAAAGAATTTTTTTTTAAATTCTCGACTTATGAAATTAATTCTTTTTCCGTATTTATGTCATCAATTCTGAGTCCTTCAAATATAAAAGAAGTTCTTCCATAAAAATTCGCAATAAATAAAATTATGCTTCAATACTATGCTATTCCAATATTTTGCATTTTGCGATCTCTGCACTGTATGATACCTCGAATATTAGAGCCAAGTATTTCACAGGCTCGATCCTAGTGCGTAAGGATTTTTGAGAAGGTACTGGCGCATGTAGCCGCGTCGCGGCAGCACATATGTTACTATAGCGCTCGCTTGAGCAAAAATTTTCTAAGTCCTCTCGAGGCATGTTGATTTTGCGCCGCGGTCGTTACCTCCGGCGCAGCCTCAACAAAAGTTTTCTAAGTCCCCTCGCGGCGAGTTGTTTTCGCCCCGCGGTCGTTACCTTCGGCCCCGTCCAAATGAAAATTTTCTAAGTTCCTTCGCGGCGTGTGGCTTTTGCCGGGACGGATCGGTACGGCGTCCAACTTCTCTAGAATTGTTTTATTGGCTACGAATAAACTTGAGTTGATTTTTATAAAATATAAGAGCTATAACTATGAATCGGCCATATATTCGAATGCAAATGTTGCAGAGATGTCTTTTTCAAAGATATAATGTGATATCGATCGAGTAATGATGTCCTGTAGATATTCTGTAAATATCTGAAAATAAGATATCTCAGATTTGACTTAAAATTGTAGGCATAAAAATATCTGGCTATATCTCAGATATATTTTGCTGTGTGGGTAGTGAGACGCGCTTTAGATCGATAGAGCACAAATATGTGGACCGACTTTATAGTTTCCTTGACATTCTATCGTTGTGAGAACAATAAAATTTTGTTTATACCTGTCTAGATTCTCAACTATAGTGCTTTGCCCTATCTGGTATAAATGTGTGTTTGTATTTACGTGTATTTGTGTGCGTGCGTGCGTGTGCGTGTGCGCGCGTGTGTGCGTGTGCGTGTGTGTGTGCATGTGTGTGTGCATGTGTGTGTGTGCAAACCGTAATGAAAACCGCTAAACAAGAATTCTTCGTGGGAGAGGAAAGCATTTTATGTGCTCGAAATAGCGGACTGAGCGTTACTTAACTGTAAGTATCGTGAAAATATCAAAAACTTTATTTTTTTATTCAACTGTGACTTTTTTGATTCGCCATATTGAATCCGCCATTTTAAATTTTGAAAATTTAATATCAGATTCGGATTCAGCAACCTTAAAAACTTTTATACTGAAATCTTCATGCATTTTTCGGCTGACAGCAAAGAAGTAAACTTTAAACACGTTTTTCTCAAAACTACTTTTTTCAATTTGCCGTGCAGGATAACTCAAAAAGTAATCAATCAAATTTTGTGAAGTACGATTTGATTCCTTATAATTTTCTCCAAGGATTGAACCTACCGTTATAACTTTATTGTTTATTTATAACATTTTTATAAACAACAGAAAATTGATTTTTTAATCGAAAAAATGTCACTTTTTTTGCGATTGCCATAATTCTTTCAATTTATTTGCAAGTAGGTTCAATTTCCGCGTAATCGACTGAGCTTTAAAGAAAACATTGTGCCACAAAGTTCTATGCCAACACGACAAAAATAAAAAAAATTGAAAAATCGACATATCTCTTTTTCTTCTTTAAGAATGCCTTTTTATATCGACAAAAAATCAAATTATGACTTATAGTTTTCTAAAATCGGTACATTAATGAAAAATTAAACTCATCGCCACTATTTCTGAAAAATTAGAAAAATTTTGGCACCGGTTTCAAGAAAGACAGACAGACGTCAGATACTTCAATATTTTCTCAAAATATGTATATTGAAAATTTCTTTAAATTTCTACCAAAAATTTCAATTTTTAAAATAATACAAATAAGATGACATATTTTATTACAAGTTTACCTTCTTCATATTTACAAAAAAAAAATGAAACATTTTATATATTTTGTCATATTATATTTAACGAAAATGAATATCTAATATTAATCGAAGAGGCTAATATATCAGTCAAATAATTTCTTTCTTTCTTGCTTTGAATTATTTCATCAAATATATAACAAAATATAAAAATATTAATATTTAAATGATGCAAGTGCAGGGATGCATTGTAAATTGTAAGTTAGACAAGTATTTCTATTATTCGTTTTCGAATACAAACAAAATATATGCAAAGTCAGTAACAGTGAAAAGTATAAGTTATATGATATTCTCCATACTTTTCTTTGATTTTGCTCTTATCTATGATTTTTTGCATCACATATTTACTTAAATTTAAACTTTACTTGATGCTAATATTGAACGATTAACACAGGAGACTCGTTTAAAGAAATATGATTTATTCTATCTTCTTCGTAATTCGGAAGACGGTGAACTAATTATATGTTTTTACTTGACAACTATCGGTAAGATTGTAACAATATTCCGGTTTCACAATGCGATCGTTATTGTCCTGTGCTGTTGTCTTTATGAATAAATCCGACGATTTTCGAGAAACTCCGAAATTGGAAAAGCGCTTTTGTACTGTGACGAAGGACATACTTAGAGACCCTTCAGGGAGAGACTGGCCAAGAGGCGAACTGTTTCTGTCTCCATTTACATTCAAACCGGAAATAAGAAAGACAGAGGTATTAATATAAAAGTGTAGGAAAAAAAACCAGGATCTCTAGGGGAGACCGGGGCGGAGACGTCACCGGGGCGGAGTCGTCATTACAATTATCTTGAAATCTGTATGTTGTGTGAACTCGCCATTCATATTGTAAACACTACTTATGGTGCCTATGTAACCAACGGAGTTTAGTGAGATTATAGGTATGCCATTTTCATTAAAGCAAACGTGTTTTCGGAGGTGAAAAGTAAAATTTTTTGCGCGTTGAAAATTTTAAATATTTTAAATATTATTTTCTCACCGAATCTCGAGATAAGATTCTGAAGAGTAATGCATGCTGAACACGAATCCAGTGAAAATTTTTTATTTTCGTTGATTTCTAATATTTCATGAGCGATCAAACTTAAAATCTGTGTCTCCGGGGCGAAGTCGTCACCAAGCCATATCATGGAAGCTTCAGGCGAAAATCAAAGTCAAAGAAGCAGCAGTGGTCGGATTCCTGCGAAGATTTGAATAATATATGTGCTGCGTGTGCTCAGAGATGACAGAATAAAGCTGACGAGAAACACCCCGGGAAAAAAAAAATATATATAATTATATATATAATTATATATAAATATATGTGATTATATATGATGCAATTATATATGAATTTTGTCTCTATATGCGTAGGGCACATAAGTGTGTGCGCTTTTCTTGTAATTATTTTCCGCCATCGTGCTTTTAATTAATGTTTCCATTTTTTTTATTAAAAAATAATTAATAAAATGTATCCTATCATTTTTCATGATCGAAATTATGAATTTTCATTTAAAATTCAGTCCGAGAATGGAGTGACGACTCTGCCCCGGCAATTTTGAAATTTAAATTTTTGCACTTTTGTCGTTTTCACTCTATACCAGTTGAACAAAGCTACGTAGACCAAAAATATCCTTATAAATTTTGTAGCTAAGGGTTCACTCTTTACAACGGTATACATTTTACTAAAATCAATTGTTTTGTTGTTAAAAATCTGCACCGAAAAAATAGTGACGACTTCGTTCTAATTTTCTTTACTATTTCCTGCATGCAAATGGCGGCGAATTGGCCAGTCTCTCCCTAGAGGGTCTCTAGACATACCTATACATAAATACGAGACATAAATATGATGTACTTAAAAGATTTGTTTTGCTAACGTTTAATTTCAAATGTACTTTTCTTCAAATTTTTTTAATTTACACATTGCATTATTTTATTGAAATTTTTTTTTAATATTATTAGAATAATATATATTACTTTATTGTATTATACTTTTTATAACAGCTATAATAATTTTCTTATTTTTCATATTTATAAAAAATTTAAAAGAAGACGTGTTTATAAGTGCAACTTTGCTGCGCAAATATTTACTAATAAAATATTACTATATAGGAAATTAGACACCATTGCGTCATCTTATTTTTCTAGCAAGTTTTTCTACGACCATTTGGAAAAGAAATATAATTGAATATCGTTCTTTTTCGATTCTCATCCTTCTTAAATATCTCAATTTTTATACACGTCTCCTATATTGACCTTATGTTTATTTGTTTATTTTAATTTCTTATAGGCTGATGGCAGAGAACGAAACGTAGGCTCTTACGTCTGTTGTAGTCGTAAAGCAACCCTGGCGGAAAAAATTTCTATGAATAACTACAAAATTTAACTAGAAATAGAAATTTGTACATTTTTGTTGAAATATTTAATTTTTTGTAGAAATGGTTATTTTTTTGTAGAAATATCTACGAAATAGTACCACAAATTACAATGTTCTTAAATCAAGAAATTATTGCAAGTAGTATTTTATGAAAAACTACAATTTATAAAAAATAGTACAAAGATCTACAAATTTTAAAAATTTAAAAAGAAACAAAATCTTAAAAAATTAAAACATCTGCTTAATTGTAGAATACTACAAATATTTACAAAAGTGTCCCAATTCTAGCATTTTCATGTAGGATTTTGTAGTACTTCTTAAATTCATGTAGAATTTAATAGATTCTGGCAATTATATTTTAGAGTTTTTTAAATTTTGTAGAAATATTTCCGCCAGGGAAGGCAGAGAAAACTGTATACGTAACTACGTAAGTCGTGAAAAGCTATTGTGTCAATAGCTACGACAGACATAAGAGCCTACGTTTTGTTCCCTGCCATCAGCCTTAAGGAGGTTGGTTAGCGTCCCGCTGTAGAGCAGGTGGTGCGGCAGGGGGAAAGCATGTAGGTTAGATTTTCGTCGCGTGAAATAAACGAATTTTAGCAAATAAATGTGTAGAATGCATTCAATTACTGTTTCTTAAGGTCTAAAAAGAGTTGTTTGTACAATTGAAACCCAAATACGTGTTATTATCCACGTTGAAATGTAGAAATAATAAATGTGGTCCTGTTTTATTTTTACAATTTCTTGATAACTATAAAGACAAATTATTTCAGTCTTCGAGAAAGTTCTTTCTAAATATGTAAATAATTATTTGCACCTATTTTCATTAAATTCTTATCATTTTTAATATGCTTTCGAGAGTTACGTTACAGGTTAGGTAACATTTTTGCTGTGTCGCCCGTGTATAAGAGAGAGACAAAGAATATAACTTTAATAATTAATTACTCGACAACCATGCAGACAATTATCTTCAACTTTGGCATGGACGAGAGATTTCCATAGACAAATATTTTTCATAAATTTGAACTAATTCTTATCAAATTGATATGAGCAACCATCCTCCTTAATTTACGTCTTTATTCTTCTCTATTATGTAAACTCCGTTTAATTGTTAGCTCTTTTACTCTTTATTTTTTGCTTTAAAATTCTCATTTTATGTGATTAATTTTATTGCATTGAAGAAGATTAAAGTACAGTCGAAACGTTTACATTATTTCCTTTAATATTCACGAGAATAAATTATAAATTACTTCAATTATAACGTCCTTATTTACTTGTATTTCGCTACTGATTTCTATCTTTCTATTTTAACACCGCTATATACTGATTTCTATCTTTCTATTTTACATTTTTTAATTAATAGCGGTCATTATTACAGCGATTATTCTTTTATTAAAAAAACAAAATAAACAGATACTTACTGAGAGTGACAGATATCGACAGCGGGCGGCATCCTGCAGGCTTTTTCGATTACGAAGTTAGACGGTGCGACTAAATGCGTGGAACGGTTGATCTTCGGAGCATGAATCGAAATTGAGTTGAGAAGATTGCCAGTTGAGATGACACAGCGGCAGTTGATAGAAATGCTCCGTTTGTCGTCAAACTGCCGCGAAACCCGCGTCAAATTCGTCCAGCTGATACCGTGGAATTTTGGCGGCATGTTACCAGTGTCCGTTAAAACGCTTCCTTTATATGTGATTACGGAACGTGTTTGCTCATAGACGAGCCCCAGCGATCCGTTTCTCGGATTGGCCGATAAGAGGAGTTACCGTTGGACTTCCCGATTAATAGTGGGGAGTGTAAAATCGCGACGACCCGGGCAGGTCCACGAACGATGACCGCAAAACAGCCAAGGATCACGTCGTGACTGATGCACTCTGACACGCGCTACGTCACGTCTTTGGTAGCTAAAATCATTCGGCTATTCGGACCAATCAAGATTTAAAGGATATTCCCAACAAGAAGGAGATAAACGCTCGGAAATTAATTTATTCACATATCATCAAGATACACTTTTTAAACCGGGAATGATTTTTGATATACAAGCTGCGAAAACTCGAGGGATCAGATGACAGAGTATTCTAATAAATTCAATTATCGAAAAAATAACGTATAGCCTCTGTAGCGCGAACCGATATGTAATAACGATCAAATTTTTCTGGAAAGTAAAAGCGACTTGGGTAGCGCGGTGACGTCGATTAAACTCACTTTCGCATTAAATTGAAATCGGTGATTGGACGGATTTTATACCGAAAGCCGTTAGCCACTCTCGCTGCTCTATTTTTATATGACTGTCTCACTTGTCCACTTACTTTCCGCTATCTGTTTCACACAGACGGCAAACGAGTAAGACTACTATCCACGATCCGCATTTCACACAATTATCCAGCCGCCAATGAAAGGATCGTGCCTTTTATTCGGGCACTCGAGCCCACTCAACACTCCGTGTAAAACAGTGATAAGTGATAAAGACTCATAGGAGAATTTTATTTAATCGTGTTTGCGCGTAGGAGATATGTCGCCTGAGAGACAAAGAATTATAGCAGTGCGATCATATCATCATCATCCACGTGATGTTTACAATGCGTAATATATTTTTCTCGACAGTCATAAATGTCAAAAAGGAAGAAATGTAAGATTATTTAGTAAATATGAAAAACTAATAATATGTAACGCTATATACTATATAATATATACTATATACTATTATATGTATATGTACACTATGTAAATACCATATCACTTCCATATTATATTAAATACCATATTTTATACGCCGTTCTCAATTTTAGGAAAAAATGTTTTAAGTAGAAATTTTATTATTTTAGAAGAAAAGTTATTGATGAGTTTTCAACGAATTTTTTTGTCTTCTTAAATGTAACTGTTTTTTATATAATTTAATTTCTTTTGTCAGTCTGCATATAAAAGTATTCGGATAAAGTCATTGAAAAATAACACTTTACAACAACAAAAAAAAACACAAGAACGAACTTTGTGGCATTTGATAGTTTTTTGGACAGAAAACGATCCCGTTTGCCAAATTACTCCATTACGTGACAATTTTGAGATATTTGCAGAGTTGCAAAAAATGGGCTATTTTAGTGTATTTTGACATTTTATAACTACGATATGTGACGTATCGGAGAAGTTTAATCGCAATTAAAATTAAGTATGTTGTTAGGACTTTCAGCCCTTAAAAGGAATTTTTTGTGTCGCTTATGGTTAAAAAGATATTAATGAATAACGTAAAGTCTATTTTGCGTCAAAATTGCGACTTACATAGCTATTAAGGATCAATGAAGTATTTTTTAATTATGTTATTCAAATTTAAAGATTTTTCAGGTCGCTGAAAACTAATCTGACTACCATTATATTAATTTTTATATCTGCCATATTGGCTCCGTCATTTTAAATTTATTAACTTTGACATAAGTTTAGTTTTCAGCGATCTAAAAAACTCTTAGGTTTGATTAAAAAATATTTCATAGATCCTTAATAGCTATGTAAGTTGCAACTTTGACGCAATAAACTACGTTAATCATCAATATCTTTTTAACCATAAGCGACACAACAAATTCCTTTTAAGGACTGAAAGTCCTAACAACATACTTAATTTTGATTGTGATTAAACTTCTCCGATACGTCACATATCGTAGTTATAATATGCCAAAATACACTAAAATTGCTCATTATTGCAACTTTATCTGCAAATATCTCAAAATTGTGACGTAATAGAAAATAGAGCAATTTAGCAAACGATCGTATTCTACGTCTAAAAAATTATCGATGCCGCAAGGTTCGTTCTTGTGCTCGAAAAAAAATGATTTTTTTATTGTATACAGTGTAATTAATGGGATTCTTTGTATTGCAGTTATGTAGAGTGCGCGCGCAGCACATGTAATATACATTTTTTCTAAAATAGTATATAAAAAATAATTGAAGTAATATATTAAAATAGTCCTCTATCTTACTATACGTAACTAAAATTGTGGCATTTGAAAATCTGTTGAAAAATCTGTTAAAATGAGAAATGAAATGATTTTATATGATAACGTGTTTATTTTGTAGAAAATAATTTAGCTATATCTGACGTGTCTATATTTCTTTAACTTGTATTAAGATTGCTGAAAGCATAGGAGATTATGATATGATAAAAAGAATAAAAATAAAATATACTTTTCTATTGTTAATCACTATTTCATATTTTATAAGAATATTTTATGTTTTCACACACACTAATAAAAAATTAAAAAGAGAATTATACATAAAACTACGTAAAGAAAATGATTAATCTTACAAATTAAAAAATAGGATAGTTGATTAAAAAATATTTTATTATAATGTAAGAATAATATCCATACTTTTTACATAAAAACTAAAAAATAAATTGGTATAAAATTATATAATTAAAATACATACAAATGTTTCTTATATAATTAAATATATAATTATATTTACACGCAATTTTAATTACATATGCAATTAAAATTACATATATTTTTAAATATTCTTACACATAAATATATACATAAAACATTAAATACATTCAAATTAATGGAAATTGAAGGAGTACAATTTACTACAATATTTTTTATCATTATTATATAAATCTCTTTCTCTCTCTCTCTCTCTCTCTATCTTCCTCTCTCTCTCTTTCTCTCTCTCTCTCTCTTTCTCTCTCTCTCTCGCTCGCTCGCTTGCTTACTCACTATATTATCACGGAAAATATTGAATTTATAAATTATCGCAGCCAGACAGTACATGGACTACGGACCAAAGTCAGGAGCGGATTCTATCGAGGTTACGTTCATAAATTCAAGTGCCAACTTGTAACCTTATGATCGATGAAATATTAAGAGATTATAGATCTATTTAATCTTTTTGATTTATATAATGTATAAATTTATATATAAATTTGTATATGTGTACTATTTATATAATACAAATATTTTTATTACTTTTATATATACACTTTTAAAGAGTTTTTAACCGTATTTATACACATAAATTATTATATTTTAATTAATAATTTACAGAGATAAATGCAAAGGGGTCGCCTATGATTGTCAAACGATTATTCAAAGAAAAGAATTAATAATTAATATTTATTTAATATAATATATTTACAGACATTTGGTATTTACTTAATATACATTTAATGTGCATTATTATTTGTAATTAAGTATTTTATTTTAAATGTTACTGTATTTTTGGCCACATCTTAATATCGTAAAAGATTTAAAAATTACTCGGGAATATACGCCGATACAATATAATATTCCAGTCTCGCATATACGCTGTCGAATTATAAACTTGCGAATGACAAAATCACACATAACAGAAACAAGTACACGCGCGCGCACTCGCGTGCCTTGACGTGTCTGGAGGCTCGCTCGTATGGCCTACACGATATGCTTATCAGCATAAGATTGCATGAAAGTTATACCGTGTTGGCATGATGTATGCATCGATACCGATTTCGTAAGAAAAGAGAGTTCAAATTCTAATGATTAAACTTTCTTATCGTAATTTTACATTTTAATATTTCTTTTCTCAACTTTTTAATTTTTTTTTTAACTTTCTATGACCCAATATTCTTTTCTTTTTTCTCTTTAATTTTATACTTGTTTTTATGTAAAAGCCATTTAATCTCTCTCTCTCTCTCTCTCTCTCTCTCTCTTTTTCTTTCATCGGCCATCTATTTTTGGCACTCTCTTCCAGGTAATATCACGTCAGCAACTTCTTTTGCAACTTTCAAGAATCTTCTTCGTAATTACTTATTTTTATCAAAATTCGCATGTTAAGTTCTTATCTTATATTTATCTCCTCTAGTTTTTAGCTTTTTCCTTAGTGTTAAGCTGCGTTTGATTAATCTTCTTCTGTATTATTTTTTTCTAGTATTAAGTTGCGTATAGTTTTAAGTTGCGTGTACACTATTCAATGTATTATTTAGTTTTTTTTTTTATATTGTTATAATGTTATGCTTTCCTTTCTCTTTAGCTTTGCTTGAGCATAATATATTAATCAATCAATCAATCAATCAATCTCATAGCAATTATGATTTATCACTGCATTGCATGTAATAATGCATTTCATCAAAAAGTTTCATCAAAGCTCGAAATTTTGCAATACATAGACGCTACATGTTGCTTAATGTATTTACGAGAGAACCCCCTGCGACGAGTTGAGCAATTGTTTACGAAACATTATCATGGTCTTTAACCTCGGCACTTCATAATTAAAAGAGGAAATCTCCAGAGCTAAATATTTCAGAATCGAGCATTACGAAACGTCTATATGAAACATTCGAGATTATGAAAGAAAAATCGCCACGTTTACTACACATTTCGCAAGTCGAAAAAGCGAGCATGATAGACTTACTTCTTTTTGCACAATTCTTGAAATATTATAACTACATTAAATTATATATACACAGTTTAATACTAAAATATTTTAAATCAAGAACATATATATATGTATATATATATATTATATTAGGGTGGTCATTAGAAAATATATTTTTGTTGCCGCCCCCTAAATTGGTAGTAATTGACGAAAAAATAAGATCTGTGCAACCCTAAGGACGTCGAGTCATGGAAAAGGGTGCCTCTCGACGAAAGAAGTCCTAGAATTCGCGTTTTTCCATTTAATTTTTGCTCTGTAAATTAGACCCTGATTTACATCAATTTGTTATCTTAATAAATTTTCTTATTTGGTGAACATATTAATGCAAAGCAAGGTCCAATTATATCTGTATAAGCAATTTAAAAATTTTTTCTGTGTAATGCTACAGAAAAAACAATTACATTGAATTTTTTTTTCAATTATCCGGAGTATATTTTTATTCAATATAAACAATTGTTATTTCAACGATATTAATCAAATAATAAGTAATTAAAAGTATTTATTTGTTTGAAAAAATATGATGTAAATCAAGGTCTACATATATATGGGGCATTCCACGCCAATTCGCAAAGGGTCAAACTTCGACCTTTTTATTTTTGATGGCTGCTCGTTTTTTAACAGGTCTTTACGAGTATTAGACTCCTGTTAAATCGTTTCTGTAATAAATGTAGCGTTTCCGAAATAGAGCCTGCGCAAAATGAAGACTGCAAAATTTTCAATGAATTTTTTCGCCTATTAGACAACGTCTAAGAAAGAAATTCATTGAACATAAAATACGCTATTTAGATCATAGTTTAAAAAAAAATTATCTCAAATTTTTATAATAATGATTTTAAACTAATAAAGTAAAAAAACACACAAAAATTTGAATATCTCAAAAACCCCATTTTCTATTTTTTTGAAATTTATAGGGAATATTCTAGGGAGTATTAGAAGAATTTTAAGACTAGTTGGAAGTTGCGCAGAATTTTTGGGATTTTTTTATAAATTTTTTTGTAAGGCAGTAGTAATATTTGACTCACAAAAGTGTAGTTAAAAACG